TTGTTCATGTATGTTTTGTGTTTGTTGTAAAAATAAAAAAACATTTATAAAAAAAAAAAGAGAAAGAATGATTGAGGTTCAAATTGTAAAATAAATATAAGAAGGCAGGTTGAATGGGCTGAGAGAAAGGGGAAGACTGAGGAAGTTGTGGCTGGATAGATTTGATGTAATCCTCAGTAGGAAATAGATGAGACTTTTAAAAAAATAAAAGACAATGTATGACACCAAGTATGGATATGTTGAGTGCAAAAATAGTTCATTAAGATAGAAAGATACGGAGAAATATATTGAATATTGTTGATGTAAGCTAGATTTTGCTATACTGTATTTCTTTTTCTTATCTCATGCCTTTATTTATTTATTTTTTTGGCTTATTCCTTTTCCTCTCTTTGCATAACGTTAACTTACTCCAAAAGGTAATAGCTTAAACAGTATGTTGAACTGAATTGTTAATTTCCCAAACTAAATTCATTAGAATTTCTTATATTTCTGTTCTTCCCTAGTGACCTCTTTACTTCTATGTGCCTTACCTATATCAAGAAAAATGGAAGAAAGTAGTGGTAACTGGGTTGATTCACAAGGAGGCTTCAAATTACATCCAAAGGAGAGGCCAACTAAAGAACATGACAATGAGAAATTTAGAAGATGAGCAACGATACCTCTCTGACCTCTTTTCAGTTGTCCTTCGCTATTGCAGAAAGAGATATGGGATTTTTTTAAAAAAAGTCAGAGAATCATCTCTGTCATGTCATGCCTCCCACTGAAGACTTATTGTCAGAGCCCTTGGAGACAGACTGGACAAGGGGCTAGAGCCTATACAGCGAGCATAGAAGTAACTCCCGCTACCTGAGCGCCTACAGCCATAAATCCTGAGGCCAACAGCAACCATGGGTCAAAACCCAAAGTGGGCTGAAAGATACAAATGTACAAGACTGAGGAAAAGTGGTTGATTCACAAATCACTATGGTCCCTGAGTAGACCAACAGTCTCAATTGAGTCAATGCATCTGGTTTAGGGTGTAGGCTTGAAGCCTATGATATTAAACTGGTTTGTTGGAGATGACTGAGTACTGAAAAAACTGTCTTGAACTTTGTGTGTTCTGATGACTAGCTGCCAGAAAACTTGCCTTATTCCCTATGACTGAGTTTTTATACCTAGACCTGGTTTGTACGTGAACCTTATTTTCTCCTAAACTTTCTTGTCTGAGGAACACATCTGCTGACTTTAGGATGTTGATAGGCCTTGTTTCTATTGCAGTCCTAACCAATTCTCTTTGGATATAAAGGAAACTTGGCAACTCTCCAGAGGAAAAGGTCAATGTCACCACCATGATAGGTAATTTCCTGATTTACACTAAGAAAAGCAAATTTTAAAATGATCTCCAGCATAGATGCAAGAGTTGCCTATAGAAATCCATGGAAATTTCCAAGATACTGAGGTGTATCGAAAAAGAGCAAGAAATAGGTTTCTGCTCTTTCTAATTCAAGTCTTAAATATTGTTTAACATTAAAAAAAACCCTCTATGGATTTCAAAACAAAAAGAGAAAAAGAAGCACTGAATGTTGAAATGAATGAGTGAAGCCAAATAATTTGCAGACCACCAACCTCTACTTATTAGGACTAGCGTGTCTCTGCTTTCCTGTCAGGCCCAGCCTCTATTTCTGAAACACAGGGTGATTGTGAAGCAAAAGATCTGCATAACAAATGCTGTCATCAGCTTGATTTCTGTTGGCTCAGACTGGGCTGGAACTAGTTTCAAATTCTGATTCACTGAAATAAACTGACACAGGAAAAGGGCTATCATCTCAGTGAAATAAGCAAGAAATGAACTGGGGAAAACCATACCTTTCAGACAGATTATACCTTTCATGCTGACTTACTGGTATTTCTACATGTGAGATTTAAACAAAGAACAGAGTACTTTTAACAAAAACAGTGATCTTCTCTTTATGACTGAGAATCTAAAAAAAGAGAAGTACTGTCTTTTCTTCAGGATAAAACTTTGTTCTTTGACAATACAAAACATTAATCTGAGCACCTAGGTTCATGAATATGAAACTAGGCATTGCGGCTTTCTGCTTGTTGTGTTGCTGTTTTGAAGCCTTGCATGGTAAGTGAGACATCAAATTCTGTTGACAGTAGTTTCCTTTGGTTGAATTTAAAGACTCTATAAGAAATATTTAGAAGCAGAAATCCTGAAGGTATGATGAACAGACATTTGTACTGAGAACCAATGAACCACTCTCTAGCTATAGAAGCAAACTTAATTTTTTCCAGGTATCTGTTGATATTTCTTATGTCCCATTATTTACCTTACTAAAACTGTACCCACCAGTGTGTAGTATAGTAATGTCTTTGAACAGAGCTGTAAAAATGGTTTTTAACATTTTTAGAAACATTATATTATAAACTACTCCAGAAAATGACTACCAGTTTGTGAAGTGTGTTTTAGCAAGAGACAAATGCTTCTCAGTTGAAATTCCTCGTTTATGAAAGGCTAATCTTTATGTCCACTGGGGCAAGATTTCCAGCATATTGTTTGGTTGGTTTTCAAACTGTTTACTGTTTTCTGTTTCCATGTCTGTGCTTATATCATATAATGTTGGCTTATATTACTTTATCTCCTTTTATGATCCACTGATCATTCTGAAGTATTCTAATTACATGTGTGGAGGACCCTCATCAGGCCATTTTACATTGAATGAATTCTACACATGTCTAATTCAATTGATTTCAGTGAGATTTGCCCCCAGGGGAGTATATTTAGAGTACTGCTTTGGTATACTTAGACTATATTTTAATGATGATGGTTGTCCAAAAAATACAGCCTTTGTATTATCTCGTGGTGCTTCAGAACAATCAGTTGGAAGTCAGGAGAGGACAATGTATGATGTGCTACCATGTGAATAGAAGATTTATGGATGTTGCTTCTGCTCTACATGGTGGACTCTAATTTTGCTCCATGGAATATCACAGTTTATCCAGCTCCCCCAAAGGAGAGTGCTGAGGGATCATTGAGTTTTAGCCAGATATATAACTGCGTCATCTTATTTATAAGATTTACTCCATACCTTTAAATAACATAGGAACAGGGGAGCTTAAGAGAACGAGCAGACCAATCATTGTTTGTGCAGAAACTACAGCCAAGCGAAGAAAGGAGATGGAGATAGCTTGTCGCCTAGCTACAAAGAAAGCATTCAGCGCCTCTTCTCTCATCTCCAAACCCTGCACGTGAAAGAAATTCCTCCATTAATTCATTTCTACTGCCTATGTGCAGCAACCTGCTGGTCTTCCAGATGAGGTCATGCAAGAGTACATCATGCTTTTCAAATAACTTGGAATTGCATTTCCCAGAATTCCCAGTGCATAGTTATATTCTGGCTGACTTGGAATGTTGGGAGTTGACAGCTGTGGGCAGGCTAAAGAAGTGGCTTCGGGATTGCGATAGTTCTGTTACTTAGTTTAGGTTCATTTCCACAAGGCCCAGAAATCAATAAGAAACCAAATCTTCAGGTATTATATTATTTCTAACAACCAAATGTCTGTTAACATTTTAGATTTTTGTTGTTGTTATGTTTTAAACTATTCAGTCTTGGGAACAAGTCCTGCTGAATACAGAGACACATTCCATTTATATAGTATTATTATGTCAAAGCCCGTAAGAAGAGTCAAGCATCTTTTCACAGCGGCAGGAATTCTCACTTGCCATACAGTGAAAATAATCAATCTCCACAGTATATTAAAATTATGCAGAATTCTACCAATGGTTTTGTGGTTGCAATCCACAAAGGTGTTAGCACAATGGGTTTTAAATCAATGTAATTTAAATATAGTTCATGCTTTGTCATGGTCACACCCATTCCCCCAGATCACACACATTCACACCCCTATTCAATGGTCTTTTCCCTTTAAGTAGTTTCCAGATTCTTGCCAGTTTATTCCTCTTTGGAATTCAATGAGCCTTTTTTCTAAGACTGCATGGGGCTGCAGCTTTACCAGTTTTCCTCTGCTGCTTTGGGACAGCCCTGCGTTCAAAAACTAAGGGTCTACTTTAGACATGCTTGCCAGAGCCCTATGTTTTAAAGCATGGGCTGCAGCTGAAAGAGGTCAGGCTGCTGAAAAGACACCACTGGGAAAAGCATATGAGCACGGTTCTTCTTTTTAAGTTTTGGTCAGGTGCAACTTAATTTTTTAACTTTTTAGCTGCTGAATGTTAAAAACTTCCCTCTCTTGTTTTTTTCGGCTGTCCTTGCAGTTGCTTTTTTTCTCTCCTGAGGCTGGAAAGAAGCCCCATTTGGAGAAAAGTGACTGAGATAAGTTTGATGTAAAGGGAGTAGGAAGGGTGGGTGGGGGAGTTTACAAATTCCTTGACCATCTAATTCACCTCTTCCCCCATTTTTCAGTCGTTCATTCTTATCTGTAATAATGGCAAAAATTATAAAAATAAACAATGAATTAGAACAAATAATAATAAACACATAATAAACAATAAACAACAATAAACAATAAATAAATAATAAATAATAATAATAAACAATAAAATAATAATAAACAAATAATAAAAATAAACAATGAATTAGAACAAATGCAAGACCTATATATGGATTCTTTGGGAAATACAGAATAAAAAAGAGGCCTCCAATAATTCATTTATGCTTCGCTGTTATAGTCGTGAATTTCTGATTGCAGATCCAATATTCTGCTTTTAATCAAATCAAGCAAAAGATAAGGGAATAAAGGTAAGGTAGATCAGAGAAAGAAGTAGTAGAAAAGAGCTAAGACTCATGTACCAGCTGAGTCGAGAGCTGGAGTATCCAGTTTCAGAAATTATTGTTTTCTAGTCTTGCTGTAGTCGAACTATTCCAGAACAGCATCCCCTTTGCCCTTAAGTTGTAGCCTGGTGCTTTCTCCATGTTGCTCTCTAACTTCCTTGGATTCCCAAAGTTTGAGAGGGAAAATCTGATCACTGCACTTGCTTCCATGCTACTTTCACCAAGATTTTTCTCCATAGCAGAAGCCTACAGTACATGCTGGGTACAACTCCACGTGCCTATGATTCTCAGTAGCCCATAAAGCAATGTGAGAGAGGAGCTAGGAAATTGTAGGATTGGATTTACACAGGCGGGATATACTGGAGGCAAACAGGGAGAGAAGTTTGTAATCCTCCTACTGCAGTCCCACTCACTGGCAACATGCCTTCACTGTGCATGTGCTCTGAGGGTGCTATTCCTAACCACAATGATGCCAAAATGATAATCTCATGGCATACAATGCACCCTTTTATACTTGTACTGCAGCATCTTGCAATGTTACATGCCCTTTCTCGCCCCCCCTGCACCGTGTGTTTTGATTCTAGTGCTGATCGTAACATGCACATCCTTGGTTGCAGTCAAAACTTAGAAAATTAAGTGTGTTATTTGCATTCAAAACATTAACAGAATTTATAATATAAACCTTGTTCAAAGAATTTGTGATATCCAAAACCGCAAGGGTACTTTGCAGTGACTGCTGCTAATTTATTTAAGCTATCGTGTTCCTTATTTTCTACTATGCAATTCAAATGTTTATGTAAACTGGTCTTTTATCTTAAAAAATAATCAAGTGCCACTGATTTACTATTTTTAGGTATTGACCGGTGTTCATCCTGTACAGCTTCCTGCACAGGTATTACTTGTTATATTTTTATGACATTAATTAAAGACATCATATCCAAATGAGTGTGACAAGCAAGAATTAACAAACGAGATCTGCAATTCTGCACAGCATTAGGCTGCCTAAATGCCATGGGAGTCAGCGGGATTTAAACTGTATGTTCCAGAGACTGCAGCAACAAACTTTGATCCCGTATATGGTTAACTGCTACTGGGTTGTGATTACTGTTTCAGGTCTGTTAATAAATGAACATCATAAAAAATATTTCTCCTGGTGTCTTGAGGTATATATAATTTCACCTGTCTTTTGCACCAGTCTCTGGGGGAAGTTGATTTGTGATCTACTGTTGATAATGATACTGAATTTGACTGATCTATGTTTTGAGGGTTGTGTAACATCTGTGTTGTCTCCCTGATATGGGTGTTTTTTTTTTTAAGTTTTTCTAAAATTATTGTTTGGCTGTTGTTTAATTTTGAATTTACTATATAGTTCTATGCCACCTAAAGTTGTTGTGGTGAGTGAGGCAGCCTATTCATTATTTTTAACAGAAATGTAATGAAAACTTAAATTATTAGTGATGCAGAATCGAGACTGCATCGTCCAGTAACAAACTGCTGATCTGGACTGGCACTGCAATGGTCCTGGGCCCTGCTATGCCTTATCTGGCTCTTATTTGCTTAACTGCTGTGATGTCACAGAGAGGCAAGGCTACCTTGGACAACTCAGCTACGGGCTTGCGAGGACTAATCGCAAATGCTGGAATTCTAAAGAAAAATGATCAACTTGCTTTTGAAGAAGATCAAAAGCACGAGGACTATCAGCAAGCTAGGATAATTATCTGATAATCAGTTCAGCCATTTTGGACACATGGAAAAATGTTTGCCAAACAAGTATCCTGTATTGGAATGAGTGTGATTGCATGGACTATAAATTATTATGAGCTGTTTATACTATATAATTATATAGATAATCGTGGGATTAAATAGTATATGAGGCAGGATATCTAAAAAAAGCCTTAGTCGGTTTCCTTCTTTTATCTTTATTTTTCCTCTACATATTTCTTGGTTAAAGAAACAGACAACTGCTTACTTCCCATAGCAATCTTTTCTTGTTGCTTGTTGCTTGTTAACCATTTCCTTCTTTCTGCAGAGAATGATACTCAGCTCTCAGATGAATTTCCAAGAGAAATCTTTACCTTGAATTGTCCTTTTCCCAGCACCGTGAAAGGTTTCCGCATGAAACTGTTTAAGGGGCAGAGCTATCAAGAAGTCTGTTCTGTTTATATAGACAATGGAAAGAACAATTCTAAAAGAACAAATGAATTCTGTGAACCAGTCCTTTCAGATGAAAAAGTATCTTTCACTGTCAGCAAATTAAAAAGCAAGGATAGTGATACTTACATCTGCTGCCTAGAAGTTCTTACTCCAGTCTATCGTTGTTGCAAAGCGAATGAAAAGCACCTCTATGTTCAAGGTAAGTTGTCATTTTTTGAGAACACAGTTAAATAAATCTAGCAAAGTATGATTTAAAGGACCAATTCCTTTTGTCAAATCATTCCTACTTGTCATGGTGTTTCACCTGATTTCAGAGAACACATTTTTCTTCTTTGATGTCCATTGTAAAGACACTGAATTCTGGGAAAATGCCAGCAGCTTGTTGGGAAAATGTGGTCCTCTTCTCAAGTAGCATAAATAGCCTTTCTGAAAAGAGACATGTATCATAAATGTATACAGGAACAATACTCATGACATCACCTTTTAGGAGAAGCCCAAGTTCCATAAATCCTACCAGGTCCATGTAGATTTTAAAAAAAAATCTTTTGAGAGCCATTGCTTCATCATTATTCCACACATGTCTTCACTTCCACCCTAATAAAATTGCAGTTAGTTTTTAGTGTCCCAGGACTACTGGAGATCAAAGAGTAGTAAGATGGAAGATGCAGCTGGGCAAAGCGATGAAAAAGCAGAGTTCTTTTTTTCTAAGGTCTCCACAAATACATATGCATGCCTTGATGACCTGCATATTTAAATATAACCCCACAATTATAGCCCCATAGATTCTCCCATCCACCAATATTTTATCCCCTCACATGCAATGCTTTGACAGTGAAGTCATTTCCCATGCGCAACGGTAATCACTATGGGAAGGCAATCAAATATATGGTCCTTCAGGCCACGTTCTACACCTGGATTAGCAGAACGGCTGACCAGATTTTCCTTGCGGTTGATGGATTCTACTTGTATTCTAGTTATTCCTGATGGCCATGTTTGAAATTTTGTAGATTTTTTTAAAATGATAGATTTTAAATGTACTTTTAATTGCAGTTTTATTGCATTTCAATCAAACTACTTTATTATTATAAGATTATAGCAACCAGATGGCTGAAAAGCAGAATATACATGCAAGGTATGGAATGCATTCTTTGAGGAGTGCCAGATACCACAGATTATTTATACATCATACTCTTTATCTTAAAACAACAACAGCGTCTTATTTTTTAAAAGGAATTTTTCCCGTGAAAAAATGAACAAGCTTGTTTCTTAACTATACAGATACATAATTATAGAGAGATTCATTCTGGCAGCATCTACTTATTATTAGCATTTTCCTGCTGGGTACATAAAGTAAGCGAGAAAAGTTTTATCTGGTTAACTTTTTGGGCTTGCTATTCTTAAGGTCAGGGATCCAGAGCCAGAATATGCATCTCTGAATAGAATGTATCTATACATTAAGTGATAAAGAAAAGGGTAGGGGAAGCATTTTGTGAATTTAGTTATCAGGCCCAAGCTTGAAAAGCTCCACATATCTATAAGATGTGCATAGAGGGGAAAATTCCATCAGGTGCATCTTTTCTCATCATTTAAATGCTTTCTGGGAAAGGCCACTATTGATAAAGTCCTCATTTTTGTATGATTCTTATGAAGATAATGATTCTTATTAGAGATTGATCTGGGGACTTTCTGGAAGCCATGGAACCCAAAAGAAAATGGGAGGATGAAAGACTGAATTGCTGGCAGAGAGTTATAAAAGCTGCATGTGAAACTCCAAGGAGGCACTTAACTAACCATTTTTTTTAAAAAAAGTCAAATTATGTACATCTAAACCTAGACTAAATGGCATCATGATAATAATTTTGGTCCAGGTACTGAATTTACCAGTAGGGTAGTAGTTTTGGACTAGGAACAGGGAGAGCCAGGCTCAAGTCTCTCCTCAACCATGAAAGATCCTTGTTGATTTTGGGCCAGTCACTCACTCTCTCAGCCAGGGTTGTTGTGAGGTCAGTTGTTAGGAGGGGGTTCTATGTATTCTGTTTTGAGCTGCTCAACGAATGGTGGGAAAGAAATCCAACAAACAAAACTGATCTACTGTTGAAGATGGAAAAATAGCAGACCAGGGGTTCTTCTAGTCAAACTTCATTTCTGAGACACAGGGACAGGATGGTTGGCAGCTTTGCTAATTTCTCTTGGCTTCATCCCTTCCCTCTGCCTGTGTCTATAATCTTACGTCAAGAGTATTTATGGATATAGCTGATCATCAGTCAGTTAAAAAAGAAAATTGGCCAAGTCTTTGGGCCATACTACACAATTCACAATGGTGGTTGTTAGTCTCAATAAATACTGATTTGATCCTGTCTCAGATTCAGAAGCATCTTGCTGGTTATCGGAACTCACATCATGGATACTTATTGGACTGACGGTTTTTTTCTTTCTTGCCTGCATCTTTTCTTCAATAAGCTGCTGTTTTAGAAGTAAGGTAAGTGATTTCCACAGCCTTCTTCAAGTCCGGTTTCTGCCAAAGACATAGTAGCGTAGCTTTCATTTTGTGAGATTTAGAGGCATACTGTGTCAGCATGTGGAATGGAAACCACTTTGATGAATAAATCTAAGCCATTTATTTACTATTGGAATTCAGTCACAAGTGACAGCAGTTTACTTTTAATTTGTATAAGATGGAGTTGTTTATTGATTTAGTGGCCTGAAGCTTTAGAACTAGGGGGAAGGAAGAGAGAATGCTGTGAACATCAGCAGAAATATCTGAGAAAGCAATTCCTCTGATTGCTGGCTGCAGAAGGATTAACCAATAATGGTGGGCCCAGCCGAGCTCTGAAGTCACTTGGTAAGCATCCAGCAGAAAGTGAACAGGGGTGATGATCCTTTTTTTTTTTTACCCTGGATTTGCCATTATTTCACTTTTGCATGGTTTTGGTCATCCCAAAAAATAAAAGTTAAGAGCGTTCATCAAAATTATTAATCTGAAATCCACACCTTTTCCTTTTCATTCCCAGGTTTGCCAACGTGCCAACACTGAATACATGGCCATGGCAGCGGTGAAACCTAGAGAAAAAATGCAACATCCAGAAATAATACCTAAGGTGGGTTCAGTTGAGCAGTGGGGCCAAACTTGACGTTGGACTTAATTCACTGTCAAAGGCCTGGTTTACTCTCCTTGTCCTTCTCTTCTGAACATTGGCTTCATCAGAAAAGATCAGAAAACAAGTAACTACCCTGAATGATAGCAGAGGAGCAACCCACCACAACACCTCCATGCCATCAAGGTTCTTCTCCACTTGTCAATTTTGCATCCCTCCATAGTTCTAGAAACTAGCACTGCCTTGCCCAGTGTTATTTCTTGTATGAATCAAAGGTTCAAGGATTAATGGAAAGCTGGAATATTGTATCAGGACAATCCTTTTTTTTTTAATTAAAAAAAATCTTGTAACATTCAGACTTTTGGTTTTCTGTATGAATTCCTGGATAAGTCAGAGGGAGCATAAGGTGTAAGAAATTTCCACTCCTTTTCAATATTGAGGTTTGGCCTCAGATTTCTCTGCTGACATTGGGCAGTGATTGGTGCCCAGGAAGAAAGTAAATCAGGTTACTGTTGTGTTTGTCCTACCTATTCTTCATAGATTAAACAACCAGAATATATTTCTCAGTCATAAATGGTTGTAACTCCATTACAATTGGGCTATTAAGCTTTTAGGCAGATATCCTTTTTTGATTTTGCTTTAACTAGCAACTAAGACAATCTACTTCAGTGAAGTACCAATAGAATAGCTGCAATTGCTATTATTTGTTACATACATAATTAAAACAATGCAATATGACTTCCCCTTTGCATCCTTTTCAGCCTGTTAACCAGCAGTAGATTAACTAAACTTTCACTGTGTAGCTTCATGAAAACTAATATGATAATCTAGTTGCAGCAGATAACTTGTATTTAATAAACAAATGTTTTGGGCCAAACTTGAGGATGAAATATCTAATCCAGTGAATGCTGTGCAAATTTCTTATCTTGTGGTGGGTCCAATCTATAACTCATATAGTAGAAATTTGGCAAATTTCTTTCTAAACTTTTGCACTGGGAAAAAAAAAATTGCCAGACAAAATGTGGGTAATGATCATAGCAATATCTTATATTAAAGCTTATATTTATGCTCACCATTTATGTGTTTGTTCATCTGATATTATAAATTATATACTATCTGTGTTATAACCTGTATTGAAAGTTTGAAATTCATTTCCCATAATATAAGCTAATAAATGGCATTGAGAGCCAGTTTGGTGCAGTGGTTAAGGCTAGAAACACGGGAGACCATGAATTCTAGTCCCGCCTTAGGTACAAAGCCAGCTGGGTGTCCTTGGACCAGTCATTCTCTCTCAGCTGTCCATGCAGTCGCCAGGAGTCAACGCTGACTTGAAGGCACAAAAGTAAATAAATACATAAATAAATAGTGGTATTGAATTACATATTTGAAAAGCAGAGATGCAGATCTCCAACCAGTTGTGAAAAAACTTGGGCTAATGGAATGGTGATCGAGATTTTACTGCTAGTAATATATATATATATACACACACACACACACACACACATACATACATGTCCTGATTCTACCCTGCTGTCTGTTTTCAGTGTGAAGAGACTGTAGTTGTGTAACAGCAGGAGAAGAAAAATATCCTAGAAGGGTTGTGGGTTTTTAAAATGAACTAGTTGCGTTACAGTTGCAGTTCCTTCAGAATTTTCTTGAAGCCCAAGATTTGACAGTGATCATGTGCAGTCAATAACACGCCCTATACTGTTCAATCTTTTTTTTTCTTTTCTTATCTAAATATCGAAAAAAAGCAAAAAGAAATAAGAAACCTAATAATTTCCTGCCCACTAATCCTTTTTCTCCTGAGAATTGAGAAATTAATCCTTGGCTGCCCCAGTTACTCTGCATCCTCCTGTTTTTTCATTCCCACCTCTCTGCCTTCTAAACCATTGTCTGGGGAATTTAAAGGAGGCTCTGCTTCTCCAGTTGCAGGTAAACTCTGTTTCTCCTCACTCCTCCCAGGAAGTTAAAACATCTCAGATTTGAAATATATTTTACCTGGCAGTATGTAGGAGCTGAAGAACGATGAAAAACAAAACAAAACATGGGAAAATGGTATATTAAGAGAGAACAGTGGCAGAATAACACACTGCAGAGTGTCATATGAATCAAGATGGAGAGGTCACAGTACCGAAATAAAACAGTGTAAAGTTTATCAAGCATTAAAATGATGTCTGAGGTTTTTTTTCTTCCTAGCATGTTCCCACAGGTGCAAGGTCTGCTTTCTTCAAATCAACCAAATGTTAATTTATTGGTTGCAACAGGAATTGACTGACTGGCTTGTCACCCAAACCTGATGTCATGGGCTGAGAGAGAGTGACTCGCCCAAAGTCACCCAGCCAGCTTTCATGCCTAAAGTGGGACTAGAACTCCTGGTCTCCTGGTTTCTAGCCTGGTGCCTTCACCACTAGACCAAACTGTCTCTCATTAAAATGACATCTGAGTGAGCTATGAAATTACAGTAACCAACCAAGCCCATTAAAAGGCCTATCTCAGTGTTGCCCAAACTTGGCCACTTTAAGATGAGTTGAAGTCCACTCATCTTAAAGTGGCCAAGTTTGGACAACACTGGCCTATCTGAAAGGAGCTCAGCTGTAAGCCCAACACAGAGCTGGGCACACATACAGTTGTATCTTATATCTTTACTAAGAACTTATTATGAAGTTGTAAATAAATGAAGATTTGGTTTAAAAGGGAAGCTTGTGGAGCATGTTATTGAGAGTTACTGTCTGCAGGTAGAGCTGCACCATCCTGAGCAAGAAACTGAGAGTCCTACTATGCAGCACAGATGATAATTCTCTAAGAGGCAGGATGGAACATAGGACAAGAAAAAGTAGTAGAGATGGGTGAAGTACGCTCTTTCTAACCTTTTATCCCTTTTAAATGGACGCATTCAGAAGTCCTTTCTGCTGTTTTTACATTAATTTGCAACCTTAAACCATAAATCATGATACTTTCCCACAACATTTATTTCCTCATAAGAAGAACCACATCACAACATTTGGAAGCACACAAAATCTGAAGAATAACCATGTTCTGAGCTGCACATAAGTAAGGGAGAGTGAGCTACAAAGATGTCAGTTTGTATCAGAATTCCCAGAGGTCAAATTCCGTATTTCTGTGATTTCAAAGAGGGTTGGTTAGCTGCTGCCCTGGGCAATGAAATCCCTCTGAAGAGTGGGATATAAGTCTCCTCATCAACAGAAAACCAACAATATCTGGCTGCCATTTTGACGTAGAACACAACAGTAGCCAATTTGTTCCAAGAGCTGCTGCCTGTCTGCAAGTGTATACCAAACTTCTTCCTGGGATTATCATGTCTGAATCCAGAAGGTCATCAAGAGCAACTCTATCGTTCCTTCTCCTTCTTTTCTCTCCTTTTTATCTAAGGTTGCTAGGAGAGTCACGATTTACACATTGGTGTTTGCTGCTCTTATTTTTCTGATAAGCGTGCAAGTTGATGCATATACACTGAATTTTGGGGTGCTGCCCTAAACCAACTATCACAGGGTGAGGGAGATAGTTCTCTCAGAGGGTGGATGCCAGAAGACAACCTGTAGTGGCAAACTCTGGGAGGAGAAAGCTATGTATATTACTTAGCCTACTCTGCCATAAGCTAGCTTGATATCTTCAGTTATAGTCAGCTTCAGCCATTGCTGAAGCAAGATTCCATTCCTAGTCCAAGCTTCTAGAATTGGAAAGGTAGCACTAACTTATTTTTTCCCCTCAGGCAGTGAAATAGCTATGGCCATCCCTGTATAATTTCATGGCCACCCCCACCCCACCCCACCCTTTCCCCTTAAGTCTCTTTTCTGAGCTAGAAACTTAAACATGTGCTGTGCAACAAGCCTTCACAGAAATGGTCCTATGGAAAAAGTACTTCTTCAATAGATAAAGGAGGTCTAAATCTGCTATCACTAGAATTGGCAGGGACTGGTAGCTATGTCAGTGTTCTTCAACCTTGGCAAAACTTTATAATGCTGTGGCGTGATTTCT